GGTTATGGACCCTGAAATTTTTATTTATTTATTTATTTATTTTTTTGGGGTGCCGGCTGACGGCCGACTGGTAGGTGCTGATGAGTGGAGCGGTCGGCTGGTCGGCAGCCAACCAATCCAGGGGCGCCGATCGTCGGCGTGACTACTCTGAATGGGAGCAAAATAATATCCCTCTCAACTCTCAGACAACCTCCATCCCGGCATATGTGCAAATCAAACCTCTGCTCGGGACAGCCACGCTCTCCAAAAAATACTACTCTCTCTCTCTCTCTCTCTCTCTCTCTCTCTCTCTCTCTCTCTCTCTCTCTCTCTCTCTCTCTCTCTGTCTCTCTCAGGAGCGGAAGAGAGGAAGAACGAGAAGGACAGCTCACGCTGAACCAGCTCTCTGAGGAGAGGAAGAAGGAGAAGGACGACTCCCTGAGGAGAGGAAGAGAGGAAGAGAAGAAGAACTCGGCATGAACCAGCTCTCTCTCTTCCTCTCTCTCTCTCTCTCTCTCTCTCTCTCTCTCTCTCTCTCTGTGTGGCCCAAAACGCGGCCAGCGCCCAGCAGTCATAGTGCGGCCTTGGCTGCCCAAAAATGTGTCCAGGCCTCAAGGCCCAGTGAGAAACTGTCAGTGAAGGTATGTTGCTCCATCCTGTTGGCAGCTACTATCTCATGGAATATGGGCACGACAGGGAACTCCACGCAAATGGCACCTTTTTTTTTTTTTTTTTTTTTATGTGGCCCGATGGACCACGGATCAGATATTAAACTGAGCAGAACAGATACTACACTTGATCTTAGCCAAAAGGCTGGCACCTTCATTTTCAGGTGCATGCACATTTCGTCTGCTTTCACTGCATGTCCTCCTTACCATGTCCTTTTTCCTTTTCTTCTCTGCAGTCACCAGGAGCCACCATATTAAGAACTGAGCGTAGAACTAGACTGCCCCTAAGTCCCTGGTTTGAAACTTCATTACACTGTTATGCCACATTTGGGCTTGTCCGCTGCAGTTCAAATATCACTAATGCCAGCCTAACAGCAAATTCACCACATGTTGTCCCAACCGTCAACCCTTCGCTCTCTCAAGGGAAAGGCAACGTGGCCTAGCATCATTTTTGCACTTTCACCGTCCTGAGCACACACACTGGCTAAAGCACGCACACCGCACAGAACATCTCAAGAATCGTTAACATGGCTTAAATGTGTCATCGTGTCCAAGGGGCGAAAAGAAGATGTTCACTGCTTTGGAAACGAGGGGCCCCATTTGAATCTCACCTTCCAGGTGTAGTCAGCTTCACACACACTGTTCTGATCTGCAACGCCACACACAGAACCGATAAGAACGCAAAAGACTCGGTGGATGAGGATACAAAAATGACATGGAGATTGCACACGCTCATTGAACTGAACTGTGCTTTGACAGTGGCTCGCATTATTCCAAACCTGTGTTCTTTCTCATCAATCGAGGACAACAGGCCAGCTTAACAGGTTCAATCCACTTTGTTCAAAAGTTCAATGACCGAACTGGATGGACCACATGCAGTAACTGGCAGAGCAAACATCAATTAAATGGATCACATGCAGTAATCAAGCACCAAAATGCACGCAATAGTTTCGAGGAAATTACATTTCAGAAGCCTATCTCCAACAACCCCAGGAAGGTCATTCCCATTATCTTTCAGGTTCCATTCTCTCTCTCTCTGTCTCTCTCTCTGTCTCTCTCTCTCTCTCTCTCTCACACACACACACACACACACACACACACACACACACACACACACACACACACACACACGAAGAAATACGCACATGTGTGCACACACGAGGTGCAGCTGTGCACAGCCCACCGCATAGTGCACTCCACAGGTGCGCCGCAAGTGTTATTATGACGGATTAAACAGAGATTGCCTTGCTGTTTATCTGGTTTTTGGACCACGCTTTAACTCGACTGACTTTGTGAGCAACTTGCTGAATTTTCGGTCAGCATGAATAATGTCACTCAATTGTTTTGCAAATGGCTTTCAGGGGGTTCCTACTGCAAGGATTTAGTCCCTCAGCAGTGTCTGAAAGGCCGACCCGCCCTAAGCGGGCCTGCAAATATGTGCCAATGCCTGTTCATAGGCCTTTGAGACCAGGCTGAGGGGCCCAAGCAGAGCCTGTTGGAACCCCTATGGGCATGAATCTTTGAAGAGGCCTTGTTACGAGTTGGCTCCTCTGCATGCCCTTGTGGAGCCCTTTCGGCAAGCATAAGCTCGCCTAAGTCAAGGTGGGCCCCTGAATTTCAATATGGTGTCAGTTCGTCAATTTTGGTAAAGTTTGATGGGCGCCAGATAGTTGCCACACGCCAGTCGGTTACATCCTACGTACTCGTGAGAATCAGAAATAATTCGTGAGCCTTCTAGACTCTTCCAGCAGCACCGGCGAAGCAGGGAGAACCTCATGTTTACTCCTGGGTGGTTGGGCAGGCCTAACCAATTCGGTCCCAGGCCACTGTCTGAATGGGCCTGGGCGCAGAAACTTTGGCCCAAACAGAAGCTACTGGAAACAGATGAGGCCCAGCCAGACAGCAAACTGGGCGAGCACTTTCCATAAAGGAAAGAGCTCGCCACTGGTGGGGATATTCGGGCACTGGCTTGTGCAAGCGGCAGTGCTGCTGGAGTGTGCGCTTGCGGGCTGCTTGCGGGGTGCTTGCTGTGCGCTAGCGGATGCCGGGCACGCGCGGGCATCGAGGAAGAAGACAGGGTGCTGCTGAGGGCAGCGACATAGCCAGCCTTACACAGCAAGGGCTTGGCTTGGATAGCCAGTGGAGGTGGTGGTGTTCGTTGTGTATGGGAAGGAAGACGTGGGTAGACAAGACGAGGGGGGGGG